CCCTCCGCACCCCTCCTCCCTCTCACCCCTCCTGGCGATCCCGCCCGCGGCGTCAGACTGACTTGACTCCGCACACCGACTCCGCGACAATAAGTATGGTGTGTGTGTGTACATATTCGGTTGGTGCCGTGTAACCCGATCCGGCTCGGTGGGGAGGTGGTGGCAGGTGCGTCTGTAATTGGCCCATGCTGCAGTCAAAATGCAGTGCCCAAGGCTAGAGAAGTAAATTTTCCCAAAAGAAATTAAAATAACCTCTAATGAGTGAATCATTGTATTAAATTTAGAAAATAGATTTTCAATTGAATTCTTGTATCTATTTGATGTTTGGCTCGGCGTTCTATGAATGACGGTGTGGACGGGTGAACGATGTCCTCGACGGGGCCTTAGTCTAGAGTTTCCCGCCACCGCGCTGCTAAGGAGAAGAAGTCAGTCGTGGTGTTCCCCAGGGTTTCCCGGTGCGTTGCATCGCGAGGAAACCCCCGGGCTGGCGTGGGCGAGGGGAGCAGCTTGGGGCGCTCCGAAAGGCTTGGAGAGCAGAGGGATTCCCTTGAGGGAGATGGGGGCGTACGGGGGACTCCAGCGCTACCACCGCGACGTACTTCTTGTCTGAGCTCCCGTTGATCTGGCTAGCTGCTGCAGAGCTGCTACGCTCGCCCATTGTCTTCTTGCGGCCGAGCTGCTGACCCGGCTGCAGAGATGCATGAAATTGCCTCTTCTTGTTGAGTAAAGTGTTTGGCCTTACACACACATTGTCATGTACGTATTATATACAAACTAGAAAACGCGGAAGGAAAGGAAACAGATGAATTTGGCCTGTTCTCGCTCCATTGTGAGTGGAAGTGGAAAAGTTTTGACAAAGCCTGGGCGCGCGTAATCGCTACAGAGGCCACGAATTGAAATGTAAAGAACAAAACGAAACAATTCTACTCCCGCTTTTTATCCGAAACGGCGAGAAGTGGGGAGGGGGAGCGGTGAGTGTGTATAAATTCTATCTTGTTTTCCTCGCTTTTTATTTTACCCCCTCTCGCCGCTCGTGAATGATTGCCGTTGGTAATACGGGGAACAGATACGATGAGATGAGGAAGGGGAGAAGGGGGAGGGTCGGGGGAGAGGGGTGTCCCTCCGGGGCTGGTGACAGAGCTGGGGGGTATGTGGGTGAATTGTCATCATTTGCATTCCCCCCGCCCCTCCTCCTCCCGCATCCCTCAGCAGACCTTCCCCTCGGGGGTCACATTGTCGAGTGGAGGGGAGGGGGGGGGGGGGGGGGGGGGGGGGGGGTGGAGCTGCGCGGTGGAGGGTGGCTGGCCCGGGGGTGGGCCGCCCCGTCCAGTCGCAGAGGTACCGACACCGTGATATGTATCCAAGTACTGGAAAGGTGGAGGGTGGGTGGGGGCTGCACTCTTGCGTCTACTCGTGATACGTGATGGGAGGTGGGTGCTTTGCGAGGCTGCGGATCGCATCGCGCGAGGGTGCGCGCCCCGCGCGCGGGGGCGTTGCGGGGGACGGTGCCGGTGGCTTGGCCAAACATGCAAACATTTGCTTTGCACTTAGGCGGGGGTCGCTGTAGTACGCTTTAGAAAGGGCTCGGAGCGCGCGGCCGCCGGGGGGTCGTCGGGGGCGGGGAGAGAGAGAGAGAGAGAGGGGGTTGTTCAAACAAGGGGAGGCTCCACCGGCTCCGCCCTGCCACCGGCCTGGCAATCACCCTGCAATCACGGCGGATACAGGATCCTAACCTAGCTTTGACGGGCCCAGATTGGCCGCGCCAGTGTCACTTTGTGCGCCAGGGGGGTCGCTGGCCCGGCGCAAACAGACCGGGTTACACAAACATTTGGCCGTCCCTTCATGTGTGCCGACATGACCGCATCTCGCATGGGTATGAAAAATATGCTCCGCCCTCTAACCCTTGTGCCCGTTTCTTGTGTTGCAGCTGCTGGTGGCAGGACAACCCACCGCGTCCACCTCGCCTCCCGCGGGCGCGGGCTCCGGCGCGGTGAGCCCCGCGGGAGGGACCCCGTCCAACACGGGGGCGTCGGCGGTGCCGCTGGGGCCGTCGACGACGCCGGGTGCGGTGCCCGGACCGGTGCCCGGGTCGGGCCCCGTGCCGGGCGGGGGGCCCCCCGGCCCGGGGTCGGGCCCCCCGCCGCCGCCAGGATCGTCGTGCTGCGAGAATGGCAGGCCCATCATGACGGACCCCGTGTCCGGACAGACTGTGTGCTCGTGCCAGTACGACTCGGCCAGGCTGGCGGCGCTGTCCTCGTACCCGAGGCTGTCGTCGTCGGGCGTCGGCCCCGTCGGCGTCTACGGCACCCCCTACCCTTCCACCGACCAGAACCCCTACCCCAGCATAGGGGTGGACAGCTCGGCCTTCTACTCTCCGCTGGTAAGTCTTGTCCGCGCCGACCCGACTTGTTATTACAGTGGCGGTGCGTTTCGACACGGTCCGGTCCGGTCCGGTCCACGCAGCCGGGGCCGGGAGCCGGGCGCACCTCCAGCGTGTGGCCCACACGCGCACGGCCATGCTGCGGGCCATGGGCGGCGGCCGTGCCATGCGCGGCACCGGCGCCAGCGCGCCAGCCCAAAGAAGTTTTCTCTGTTCCGTCTTCTCTGGCCGCGGTGCCCTAACGGCGGCGGTGCCGCTCGCCCTGCTCCGCGTCACGACCCGGTCGCGTGTGCGGCGCGGCCGCGGGGCCCGCACCTCCGCGTCACGCAGGGGCGCACGACGGCCGCCGCCGTCTTTCTCTCTGTAATTATACCAAGGCGTGCATTTCATCTTTTCATTTGGGCGGCGCGCGGTGAAGAGGAGGAATGTAAAGATGTGTCATTTAGGCCCCTGACGCTCTCTTTTTCTCTCTCGCTCCCTCACTCTCTGCGTCTCTAGCTCTTGCACGCTTCTGCCCCCCCCCCTCTCCGTCGACTCGCCATTCATTTCTGGAATCCGGCCCGGCTGCGCGATCCTCGTGGCTCGGCCCGACGCGGTGCTCGTCCCCCTCGCCGAGGCTGTCCGTCAGGCGCGCGGCCCGGGCGCGGCGCGCCACTCGCGGGGGGATTTATTCGCCTCCCTCTCCCCTTCTTATCGACACGGTGCCGTTGCCGTCGTCTTTGGCGGTCTGACAGCCGTTGATGTCGACGTCGCATCGCGGCTCTTTCGTTCACGTCATGCGGCCGCACTGCACGCCCCTACCCGGGACTTCGGATCCGATCAGCGTGCTTCTCCATAGCTTGCTCTCCAGCTTGCTCTCTGGCTTGTTCTCCAGCTTCGCCCTTCACAATTCGCCTCCAGCGGGCTGTCCAGCGTGCTCTTCAGCTTTGCCCTTCATAGCCCGTCTCCAGCGGGCTGCCCAGCGTGCTCTCCATCTTTGCCCTTTATTGCCAGTCTCCAGCGGGCCTCTCCCGCGGGCTCTCCGCCAGCGATCTCTTCCGATTTTTTCCCGATCGGTTTCTCCGCCCGTCCTTGCTGCCGCTCTCCACTGGGCTCTCCAGCGGACTGCCCCGCGTGCACGCCAGCATCTGGGCTCTCCGGCGGGTTCTCCGTCGTGCTTCGTGCTCTCCCCATCGAGTGGCGCCTGCCACGGCCCGCTCGCACGTACACGCGGTCGCATGCCGACACGTCGTCCGCCGTCCTCGTCCCCCCTGCAATGTCACCTCTCCATTTTTCGACCAGATTTCATTGTGCGACGCGGTAGGAATTTGTTCATTTCTTTTTGCGCTCGGAGGGGCCTGAGTGCGGTGGCGCCGCCGGTGCTGCAGGTGGGGCAGCAACAAGTGCGCGCCCGGCGGCACGGCGGGGTCCTGCGGGACCAGCCAGGGCGGGGCGGGGCGGGGCGGTGGGGCGGCTGCACCTGGGCGCGGCGGGAGCGGGGCGGGGCGGGTCGAGGAGTGGGCGTTGGAAGATGGATGTGTCGCCGCGCTCTGCGACGCGGTGGGGTCGAGCGCGGCCGAGTGGCACCCAATGACGGACGAGGACATGAGCAGCGGGGTGCGGTCGGGCCATGGGCCGTGTCCAGTCATTCACTCACTGCACTCCCCAAAGCGGTCCTCCTGCCTGCGACTGGCCCTGTCCATGTCCGGGCAGCCCAACTCTCGACCTGCTCCAAAATCTATTCTACACCACGTTGCTTCTGCTGTTGTTGTTTACCCGGCGCAAATGCGCTGGGGATTGCGTCGACATGACCGCACCTTGGAGGCGCCCCAAACGGGCCCGGCCCAACCCGGCCGGGGGCCAGAACGGAGGCCAGAACGGGGCGCGCAGCCGTGCCAGCGAGCTCTTTTATCGCTTTCGTAAACATTTTGTCAGCCCCGCGATTCATTTGCAATTCTATTATCCAATTAAGACGCGACTTAAATTGGGTGAGCGCGTTTCGACCCGCGCTGCGGGATAGAGGGTGGGGTGGGAGGGAATGAGTTTGTTGCAAGTCGAATAGAAAGGGATGCCCGGCGCTGCAGCGGAGGCTTCCTGGTGGTGGAGGGGATTGTGCGTCGTTGGAGAGACGGAGGTGGTATAAGGCAAGGTGGTGTTTGGGAATGTGACACATCGAGCGAGGGAGCCAGGTCGTCGATCAAACGAAACGACACACCTCTGTGCTGGCAGCATTTGTTGGGTTACTTTACGGCGCAGAGGTGACGAGATTACACGTCCTATAAAGGAAGGACGCGGACGCGAATAATAATAATAATAATATCAAAACACACACACTCACTCACTCACACTCCCGTCCCCGCACATGTGATTGGGAGAGCGGTGCGGCGAGGGGCGGACGCTGTGCGGACGGGCCCGACGGCGGCGCCCCACCCCTCTCCCGGCCGCCGCCTATAGACCCCGAAAATAGGATTTGATTGTCTGGGAAATATTTCACGCCCGGCGTGCGGCGAGTGAGCAGCAATAGCTCTGCTCTGCGCCGCTCTGCGGCTCCTGCACACACTTGCTGCGGAATGGCTCCTGTTGCTGCGGCCATTACTGTAATAGCCATTTCATCAAGTGTTTCGCGAAATAAAGCACTTCCAGACCCCGAAATAAATTCGCGCGCGTGAGGAGGAGGACGACGAGGGTGAGCGAGGGAAACACGCGCGCGCTCGCCGATAAAACTGATTTTGATAAAGATCTATGGCATAACTTTATAAACCGAAAAGCCATAAATCTGCGCCGTGCCATACGGCCCCTTGCGAGGGCTACGATGCCCGGCCCAGCCCAGCCCCGCTCTGCTCTCGCTTCCTGCCGCGTTGGTCGGCCACCTCCTTCGTATGTCCCCCTCAGCCACCTCCTTCGGGTTCTCCTTCGAGCCTTCGAGCCTTCCTTCGGGTCCTCTTTCGGGTTCTCCATTGGGACCCTCTTTCGGTCCTCCACGGGTCCTTTTGGGTCGTCCTTGGGGGTTCTCCTTTTGGACCTCCTTTGGGCACTCCTTCGGGTCGTCCTTTGGGTCCTCCTTCTCGGGTCCCCCTCCACTCCTCTTGGGTCCTCCTTCGGGTCCTGGCGGCCCGGGCCGCGTCTGCCTGCTCCCCTGTATCCCGGCCTCCCTTAGGGGTTGCGGCTGTAGCCGTGGGCGTGTCTGCGTGGGATTGCAGGTCTGGTATGGCGCCTGGATACCTGTGGTAGCAGCGCGGCGTGGCGTGGCAGGGCCAAAGGGAAAGCATAAGGGTACGGAGTGTGGAGGGCGCGAGCGGTGGCGTAGCGAGGCGTAGTGTGGCGGGGCGTGGCGGGGCGTGGCGGGGCGTCTGAGAATGGCAGGGGGTGGGCCGCCGGCCGGAATGCGGTTGGGGCGCGGTTAGGGGGTGTGAAGGCAAGATTGAGTGCATTTCCACCCCCTCCCCTCTCCATGAAAGCAATTCACCCCTCTTCCCTCGCCTCCTCTCTCTCACTCACTCTCCCTCCGCCGGGCGCGTGAGGAACCCGCAGCGCCACTTCCAGTAGTGCGCCCGGGCCCGCGCGGCGCGCCGCGTGCGCCCAGCTGGGGGAGTGACAGAGAGGGGTGATTTTTAAGGGGTGGGAAGGGAATTAGGGCCTCTCTCTTGCACTCGTCCGTGAGCCCCAACTCTCTCTCCATCTCCCGGCGCCTGCCTGCTCCTCCCTCCTTCCCCCCGGGGACGGTTCTTAGGGTAGGGGAGGGTGCCGTCGCGGGCGTGGCGGAGCGTGGCGGCCGGGGCCTCGCGGGGCTATTGGCCTTATAGCACATCTCCTTTATATATCCATGGGTCCCTTTCAATTTTGCTGCCGAGGGAAGCAAGCTGGGGGAGCCCGGGGTGGAAGGGATGAATTTGCTAGTAACGCCCCCGTCATGTGTATTTTATTTTCACGCAATTTTTCTCGATCGCGCGCGATCAGCCTCTCCATGTGTAACAGTCGCGTGTTTCCTCGTGTTTTATTTAACGTGTTATTCGATTTTATTGGCGAAGGCGCGTTTAACAGTAAAAGGGTTCGGTCCCTACGGGGGCACAGGAGATGCGCCCTGTTGCGCCGGGGTGGGGCCTAAGTGCACACACTGCATCACGTATTAATTGGCGGGCAGCGGGGCGTTCCACGAGGGCGGGGTGGGGTTGGATGGGTTGGGGTGGAGCCACACGTGGCCGGCCCTCGCCAATTTAGATGGCACGGTGATGCACGGCTGCTGCTCCCCCTTCCCCCGCATGCTCTAGCACACCACACTCTCCACATAGCCCTGCTCCCGACCCCTCGGCATCGCGTCGCACCTTAGGATCTACGTATTTGCGCGACCAAAACGCAAAACGGGAAAGAACACGGTTCTTCTCCGTCGCGGGTAGCAGTAGCAGTGTAGCGGAAACGAAACATCTAGCGGAACACCCACATTTACTCCTTTGCTGGTCTTACCATTCGAAGCAAACACGAAAAAAAAATTAAGGCAAAGTAAAATAAGAATAAAACAATAAAAATCCAGCGGGGAATAAGATGAATTGGTTGGTGCAAAGTGCTTGGCCGAATCGAGCGGGAGCGGCCGCGTGGTCTGCCACGGGGGGTGGTGGGGTTGGGGTGGTGTAGCGTTGGCGTCCTGTGGAACGACGCGGAACAACCGCGGCGGGGGCGCAAGGCGGCCCGGGGGAGGGGTGGGCCGCCACGCCCTGCCACGCCCCGGCCGGGATTGTTTGGGCGGCGCTGGGCGTAATGGTCCGGTAAATCGGTTAGGTCGTGGAGACGCGCAGCAATGACTGCTGCTCCGCGCGCCCCGCCGCCCCCGGACACTGCGGAGCAGCAGCAGCCCTTCCGCTGTGATTAGAGAGGGCCGAAGGGGGATGCTTCGTCTGTGTCTGAGCTGAGTGTGTGTGTTTGTATTGTGATATTGGTGCGTGTTTCCCGTGTTGCTGCCCCGCGTTGTCTTTGGCATTTTGTCCATCGCAAAGTATGAGTGAAAGAGTTGAAACTTGTGCCGCCCTCTGGTCCGGTGTCCGCTCCGGTTCCCCGCCGCTGCCGCCAGATGGCGCCGCGCTCGCCGGCCGCGCCCGTCGCCGTCCAGGGGGTCATTATCGTCCCGGCGAGGTGGCCCGGGAGGCCTCATAACGATAATTGCGCCGGTCAGCCAATAGCGGTGGGCCACGCCTACGCCCCGCCACGCCCCGCCACGCCCCGCCGCGCCCCGCCACCCAATGGCTAATGACGGGGGCCAGGATCGCCCCGGGGCGAGTCGCCCGGGCGGGGTGCGGGGCGGGGCAGCCATCAGCTACCGAACGGGTGCCTCTCCTTGAGGATCTCGTGCCAGCGAGACCTGGCCTGCCGGGCCTGCCGGGCCTCCCGGGCCTCCCGGGCCTTCAGGCCGCTCCATCTTGTCGGAGCGAACTCGCGGGGTGCGACCACCTCGGCCAGGAATACGTTTATTATTATTTTTGTATTTTTTTTTTGTCGTCTTTGAAGTAACCGTGGGTGAAGGAAGGGAAGGGGATACGCCGGCTGCCGGTCAGTACGCACACGGAAAAGACATGAATATCTGAGGTGGGAAGGGGTTTTAGGTTTAAGGAGGATGTACCGGCCATCTTGTGTGTAGAAATCGGCTTGTTCATACTCGCAGCGCCACGCTAGTCGCGAGTGGAACATGGAATTAACTGATCGTGATCGTGCTCCCGGCGGTCCTATGGCCCCGCCCCGCCCCCTCGCTCTAAATGCTCCCCCCGCCCCGCGTTGTAACCGCGCGGCCACGCCACGGCAGCGCGGCAAGCCTCGCGGGGCCGTGAAAGAGAAAACACTGTTGTGCTCGTCGATCATCAAACTTTATAGCGACTGTCACGAACTGCGCGGGAATATAGTAAAAAAAGCAAACCATAAAAATACCTCAACGTGTATACGGGCCGGGAGGCACATCACCTGTGGGGGGACAGGAAAGTCCTAAATAGCAATAATGTTGCCAACCAACGCGAAGCTTCGATAGTAATTGCCGGCGCCCATGCCAGAGCTGATGGCGCGCCGTGCCGTGTCCGGTGCTGCTGGTGGTGCCGTGCCGCGCGGCCACTTCCACTCCACCCCTGTGTCATGGCTTTTAGAAATAATCGCACTGTTGCGTGCGCATGAGCGTCCACCGAAATATTGGCACTGCACGCCATTCAAAGCCCTGCCCTCCCTCCCCCTTTGTAGTAGGGGTCCGCGATGGGGAGGTGGTGAGTGGGGAGTGAGTGCTTGGGGGGTCATGTATGGCACTCCCACTTGCTGCAGCAGCCAGAAGCAGGAGAGACAGGTATGGAAATGCGTGTGTTTTGGACGTTTTTTGTGGATCGGCCGGAGCGCAGCAGAGGAGAGAGGGCCGGCCGCGGCGTGCGGCCGTTATCTTAGCGCCTTGTGCAGTTAAGCCCCTGATTGACACCTGTCGCTCGGAGCGGCTTATCAGGCCGGCCCGGCCCTTTGAAGTCGGCCGCGCCGCCCTGATAAGGAGCCAATCCTGAATCTCGACCGCGGCGTGGCGCGGCGTGGCCGCGGGGCGTTTGATGTGCCGGCGGCTCTAATCACGCACCGACCCGTATCGCCCGGCCCGGGGAAAGGGATTAGCGGCCCTAATTTCAATTAATCGCTAATACCGTCCGATATAGCAGCAGTGGTGCGTCGTCCTTCTCGCACTTTTCTTCGTGACACAACGTTTTTCAACTAAAAACAAAACAAAAAATTATCTAAAATTTGCTGACGGATTACCATCGTTTCTAAACACAGAAAAATATCGTCGTAAATTTACAACATTTTTCTAAACTCAAAATATAATTTAAGTTGTAAATTTTACGAGAGCACGCAAATGGATTTTAGGTACTGCATGTACTTAAAAGATTATACAAATTGTAATTTTACAACTTGCGTCTTGGAAATTTTTTGTTGTAAACCTTTCTACCTATTTCTCACAGCGAAAGGATCGTTGTCACTGAAAAGTTTCTGAACGTTTGTAAAATTGTCACGCTTTTCTTTTTCAAAACTCTTGAAGCAATAAGGTAGTGTTTTGTTAACATTTAATCTGTCCTCAACTGAAAGCTAAAGTCGAGCGCGTGTCGCACGTGTGCGCGGCTAGTGTTGCCGGGCTGTCCGTCCGTCGTGTGTCGCGGGCCGGACGACAAGCGGTGGCGCGGCGGCACGAACTGAATTAGCCGCCACGCGACGCCACGCCCTACAGGCCTAAGTGTAGTCTTCGCCAAGTATCGGGAAAACTTTGTAGTTTGCCCTTCCGTACCCCCCGTCGGCCACGCAGCGGCGGTGGAGGGAGGGGGAAGGGGGGATTGGGGAGGTATCACAGCAGCGGCGCCAGCAGCGCGCGCGCGCGGCTCAAAGTTTCCGCAGCTTCGGCCGTGACTTTGCAGCCAAGTTGGAGCCCTTTTGCTGTCCCAGCCTGTTCCCTCTTGCCGCCCCGCGTGCCTCTTCCTCTCCGTCTCTGTCCCCTCCCATCCCCCCCATACACACGCGTTGTGTGTGTGTATTTGTCATGGGGGTGGAGGAGGATGTCTAACGACGGGGGAGAGCAGGAAATTCTCTCCAACGGTCGTGCTTCTTCTTCTTCAATAACCACATTGATGATAACAGTTTCCCTATACAACAATGTGTACAGTACAGCCGCTTCCTGCTGCACACGTCACCGTGCCGTACTTTAACTTTGCGCTGCAGTACCATTGCGCTACTCGCGGCCCGCAGCGTCGCGCTGTGTATAGCCCTGCCTGGAAACACAATGCCCTGGTGTTGTACCCCCTATGGCTCGGATGAGTCTCTGCTCCCCCCTCCCCCTTCTCCTTCCTCCAACTTCGCCCGAGCGCCTCCTTCGCCCCGCAACACACGGACACGGTCCATGATTTTCTCACGACCTTATAAATTCATTGGTATGGAGCGGAGTGTATCTCCTCTCTTCCTCCTGGAACCAGCGGCCCGGCAAATGCACTTCCCTCCTTGGAGGAGGAGCAGGAGGAGAAGAAGGAGGAGGAGGAGGGAAAAAATTAAAAACATTCATGTATGCTTGTCGCGAATTTGTAGTGGCCGTGTCGGCAGGGTTCCCTCTGGTTCCCACGCGACCGCCACTTTGTCATTGTGTTGCTGTTGCTGGGCGAGGGCCTCGTGGTGGGCCGTGTCTCCGTGCATCAGCCATTAATGCATGAGCCAATGGCTGGAGGCGCCTCGTGCATATGCAGGGACGTGTCGTGCAACTGACGAGTTGTTAATATTTTACAATTTCCAAAAAAGAAAAATTAAAAAATTGAAAATAACAAAGATAGGCGGAGAAGAAGGGGCGAGTGAATTAAAAATTAGAGATGAAAAATGCAAGTCTTCGATGACCCCAAAACATGTTCGGTTTTTTTTTTTGTTTTTTTTTTCGGTTGTTCGTCGTAGAGTTTTGCTGTCGGGTGGGTCCTGGGTGGCGCCTGTAATTACAATGTTCTCACGCGCGTGTAATGACGCTGGTCACACTCGGGGGGAGGGAATAAAGTCCGGCCAGCCGCCCCCACCCCGCGCCTTCACGGCGGAGGGCCCCACCGGCCACGCAACAACCGAGGAGAGGGAGTATAAGGGAGGGAGGGAAGGGCAGAGGGAAGGCGTTGGGGCTCAACCACGCGCCCCACTTGCGCCACTTGGGCCTCCAAAAGGATGAGGGGGGGGGGGCAGAGAGAAAGAGAGAGAGAGAGAGAGAGAGAAGAGGGAGGGAGGAAGAGAGAGAGAGGTGCTGGGGCTGGGGCCAATACCCCGATATCCATCAAAGGGAAGCCCTCGGAAGGCCCCTCAGAGGGGCAGTAGAAGCAGCAGCGGTGGTGGCAGTGGCGCCCCCCTTCCCCCCTCCTTTTCCAAACTCGGACCCTCGCTCTCGCCCTTCTATACGGACCGCTTCCCCATTTCGGAACAAGGCCGGTATATAGGGGGAGGGGCGAAGGGGGCGTTTAGCACTTCCGCCCCTTGTTCCCCTCTCCTTCCCTCCTCCCTTTGTGTTCGGTATCACACAGCGCCGGCTCTTATTATACACACATCTCCCGTGAGCGGTAAAATTGATGCCGCCGCCGTTGTTGCTGCTGCTGCGTTGGTTGATTGTGATGCTGCTGCTGCTGCCGGTGTTGTTGCTGTGCGGTTTACATTTCGTTTTGTCGTGTGCAGCCAGCTTGCGTGCCGGCGCCGTCAGCGGCCCGGAACATAGGAGCAGAGCTGTGCAAAGAAAACAGCTGTACTGCACGTAGGCGCCGCATAGTGAACTACGCCGATGTTTAGACGGAAACTACCGCTCCGCTTGCACATCGACAATGTACGACAATGTCGCGATGCACCTCGCGATAAAATTGTGATAATGCAGGTGTTGACAGCGTGTTGTCTGTCCATCATCCCTTAATAGTTGCTCATGTCTCCTAATTTTTTTTCGTTTGTGTGTTGCAGAGCAATCCCTACGGCCTAAAGGACGGCGGCTCCACGGACATGACGGCGTGGACGCCGGCCGGCCTTCAGCCCACCACGGGCTACTACCCTTACGACCCCACGCTCGCGGCCTACGGGTGAGTACCACTGTTGTGAAGCTCCATGTCTTTTATTGCAGCCGGGGTGCGTTGGGCGGGGCGCGGCGGGGCGAGATGATGATATCTGACAGCTATCGCCCCCCGCGCACCAGTCGGCATAATTATGGTGTTGGCCCCCGCTGCCGCCCGCTGCCCTGGCCAGCAGCAGCAGCCCGCTCTGTGGTCTGCCGGCGGGGTGGGGCGGGGCCGGGAGAGGCGGTCCAGCAGCCCCCGGGGGGTGGGGTGGGGCGGGCCGCGCCCGTCTGCGGTCGGACTATACACCGCGCCGAAATGGCTGTTGTTTGGACCGAAATGGGGCCGTGCTGACCGGCTGTGCTCGGCCCCTCGCGTCCGCCCGGCGCGCGCGTGGGGCGGGGGCGGGGACAGCCCTGGTGTGGTGGTGGGCACCCTATCCTCTAAAACCTGCTGCTGAAGAGCTGTTAGCGATTTGGGGGTCGATGGGAGATGGGCTTGCCTAACCGGATGCTGTCGCCTGCCGGGGCCACGATATAGGCTGCCCGGTGCACAGGGGTGATTGACGGGCTTGCGGCTACCTGGCCGCTCTCGCATGCCAGGGACGCGGTAGGCACCCGGGTGGGCATAGGGACGCACGACCGGATTGTCTTAAGATCATCCAGAAAGTATGCCCGCCATTCTCGCAGTCTCGAAATTGCCAAGTTAGGTTCAGAACGTGCAAGCTCCCATAGCGCCTAGTAGGTAGGCAACATCCTGCCTGCAGTGCATGCGTGTACCGCGGGGTGGCCTACCCGGAGTCTCGCAGGCGCCGAGCCCCCCTAATTTGCCGAATGAATCTGAGGAAAACCGGACTTCCTTTCCGGACGAACCTCCTACCCGGCCGCCGTCGACTGTCACAGACACAGGGCCTGGGCTTGGCGGCGTCTTTTACTCGCAGGGAGGGCAGGGGGTAGGGCACCACCCTGCAGGCCGTCGTCCGGAGAACTTGGGCCCCTTGGTCCAGAAGGGCTCGAGAGGGTCCGGCCTGCAGGCCACCACCTGCCGCCCGCGGGCGCTCCCCTCCTGTAGGCCCGGCGGTGCATTAACGCTCTTTGCGAATGGACGCGAAAGGGATTGTAGCTCGGAGACCCCCCTGGGTGTGCGCGAGTGAGAGCGAGCGCGCGGCGGGGGCTCGGAGAGAGAAGGGGAATGAGCTCGCTGAGGTTGAGTGGGAGAATAAAACGCCTCCGTTAAGTGTAATTATGCAAATGGCTGTAGTGGCGTGTTTTGCGGGCGAGTCTACCGTCCGGGGGCGCTCAACGAGGTTGTAGCGGGACGGGGCGGGGGCGCCTTATGGCCGTCCGGTGGGGTCCGGCCTGGGCCCGTGGTCATTACCTTGACTGTGTAGCACGCTGCGACTCTCTGGCCACCCCATCAGGACCCCGACTACCATTCAAGAAGGCGAAGGCGTTCTTTCTTTTCCCCCCTTATTGTTGTTTTTGAAAAGTGTCACATCTATTTCCATGTCTCGGCTGGTCATGCCGCTATAGGTGTGCTGGTAGTTGCGGTATTGGGTGTTCACCAGGTGTCGGCGGTGGCGGGGCGGTCTTACTTCCGGCAACAGGCTGTGTGGGCCGGGTGCCATCGGCTCGCTTGCGGTGAGCGGCGCTGAGCGCCACACCGCGCGCGGTCGCGCTGATTCGGGGTTTTGTTTCTCCTCGGTGGGTCGTTATTGCAAGGGCAGTGGGGTATGTATGTACGGTATACGTGTGGAGCTCCCGGGCGTGGGGTAGAGAAGAGAGAGGGAGGGAGGGAGAGGAGGAGAGGGAGGGAATGGGGGAGAGGGGGAGGGAGCCAGAGAGGGAGGCAAGGAGAAAGGGGTGAAGATGGAGAGTAAACGGGGAAGGGGAGAGGGAGAGGAGATTTGAGCCCCGCGCCGCTGGCGCTGGGTGGGATCGATCGCAGCGGAGGAGGAGGAGGCACTGAGTGGGTTAGAGGGGAAGGGAGGCGAGGGGGAGGGAGGGAGGGATGGAACAAGGCTCCTCTTGTCTCTATCGTGTAGCGATGGCCGGCGCCCCTCCGCGGGCCGCTGGGCCGGGCGCTCTCCGCGGGCGCCACGCGGGCCTGCCGCCGCTGCCGCGCGCTGCCGTTTCCTGGAAGACGACCAATGAATAATGACTACCGAGCTGCGTTAAGTTATTTGCAGCGATCCGCCCGGCTGGCTGTGGCATGGCGTGGCGTGGCATCGGAACGAAAAAAGGAGCGAGCAAAAGCGCAAGCGAGCTGCTGCAACAAACGACGAGAAAAAGAGGCGTGAAACAGGACGGAAGTGGCGGTGTGTTGGAAGGGGGGAAGTTTGCTCTTTTAACGTCTCAGACACCACCGCGCTCTACCACCACTTCACTTATCCGTAAGCCTTACACCGCCATGAAAGCCGCGCCGTACGGCCGCCCTCCTCCCCCTCCTCCCTTGAGGGGGCGGTCCCCCCGCTACCCCCACCCCCTTGGGCCCCGACACCCCATGGGCCGCAGCAGGCCCGCTCAACCCCTGCGGAAAGGGGGACCCGCGTCTCACAGTAAGTGAGCATAAAAGTAGTCATTGACGGCAGGTTTTACGGTCCTCCTCCCGTCGTGGGGCCGCGGCCGTAGCGACGCTTGGGCTGGGATAGATCCCCCCCCCCTGCTCCCCCCCCCCTGTGAGCGGCGTCCATTCAGGGACCAAGGAGGGAGGGGGGGTGTGCTATAATCATAATTTTTCAGTTTACAATCGCGTGCGAAAAGACGGTTGTGCGCAGGGAGGGGATAGAGAGGGCCATAGAGGCGGGCGAAACACTTGTAGTGTACGTGTCGATATCGTCATCAAGCAGGCCTTTCAGTGTACCAACGGGGCTGCTTGCTCGTGTGTGTGTGTAAACGCGTAATAGTGGGGCGCCCCGCCACACACAATGCGGAGGGCCCTATCCTAATTCCCCCCCCCCCTCTCTCCCTTCTGCCCAACCCAACGGCGTTGTAAAGCGTCCTCATCATCATAGAAGAGGAGCGGCTCACGGGAGGATTTGAGGAGGCGCCGCCGCGGTCAACAGCACCGGCAGTGTGTGTATTGTGGCGAGTGAGTCACACAGGCCCAAAGCCCGGCGCACAAACGGGTCTCGCCGCGGAGGAAATCACTGAGCTCTGTGAGGGCAGCCCTCACAGCCAGTATGTATGTAATTGTATTATTTTCCGTCCTGTCTGTAACATTATAGTTATTGCGTGTCAATTCCGCGCGTTCAGGTCGCTTGCACGGCACTTTGTCACCAGCAGAGCTCCCCTGTTGTTATTCTCGCCCGCCTGCACTTATGGCATTGCGCGGGTTCCTGAACGGTGTGCCTCGTGCCCCCCCACCCCCTCCCCCTCGGCCCGCCGCGCAGCATACCGCCCTCGCTCGCTGGCCGAGCACACCACCGCAATGCGGTGTTACAGTTCAAGATGGGATTTTTAAATTGTTGTTTCAACATTTTTAGACAGTCCCCTAAAGACTGTCTCTACACCAGAAGGAAAAGTCCTCCCTCCCCTCGTTCCTATCTACAGCGCACATGCGGGCGACCGGCGCGAGTGTCATTATATGTTTTTCAGAAAACGTGTTCTTTGATTTTAGTAAATTTGACGTGGGGACAATTCCATTCAAATAAATTTTCGTTCACTGCAGGTAAAATTTCCTTAGTTGGGGGAACTTTACCTCAAACTAGGCCAAAGTTTCCTTATCCTCAATTGAGGTCTGAATTTTCTTGAATCGAAGAAATGGTTTTCTTGGGTGTAGAGTGTAGAAAATGCTGGTAGTTTTCTAAAACAAACTAAAATTCAAACAAACCCGCAAAACACTTTGCCCCGAAGTTTTCGAGCCGACACTTTCATTTTACTGTGTGCAGACGCCTCATTCCAGGCACCCGGGGCGCCCAGGAATTTGTTCCTTGAATGCGAATAAGCTCTGCCTGGTGCTGCACGGTCAGCCAGACACGCGCAGAATAAGAGGAGTTGCGCGGTGGCGGTGGTGTGGTGTGCCTGCCGGGGCCCCCCCGCTGCCGCTGCTGCTCCTCGCCTTCATGCTCGCCCTGCTGCACACTGCTGCTGCTATGTGCCCTGGCGCTACGAGTATTACACGTACACACATGCTGCGATATGGCACACGGCAGAAAAGTTGCGCGCGGCCGACTTCTTCTTGAAGGAGGACCCCGCCCTTGGGCCGCTCCGCCTCGCGCGCGCTCTTTCGTATAGCGTGACCAATAAATTATGCACGGGGCCTTATACCGTATAAATGACTGGTACAAACCGATTACAGCACAAATGCGTCAAGATAGGCATCGGCAGCGTAATGACGCAAGGGGAAAGGGGGAAAAAGGCCTAAGGTGGATAGCCTACCCGCTTCGAGAGGTGTAGAGGGGAGGGGGTGGAGGTTGTGTGAAGCGGTCTGCTCTCTGCTGCGCGAACCTCATCAATAAAAGACATTTCAAATAAACGCCCCGCCGGAAAAAAAAAAAGAGAGACAGCGAAAAGAGAAGAGAACATCGGTGACGTGGGGACACACGCACATGCGGCTGCCAGCTTGGCGGTTGCGTGAGCGCAGACTATCCCCCGCTCGTTGGGCCACGACATTGTCGACTGATTTAAAATTGATGCGATCCTTATCGCCCGATCAGCAATCTAACCCCCTGCGCCCGGTGTTGCATGTGTGTATGAGTGTGTGTGTGCGTGTATGTGTCGCCAACAACGGGAAGGGCCGAACAGTCCACCGCAACCTCCCGCTCCAACCCCTCTATACTTTACTACAAAGTCTGCAGTAAACGTCGAATTAAAATCCGACACCTTCACGACGGTCGTTGTTGGGGGCGCTCGGGCGCGGGGGTTTAGGGGTGAGGGGGTAGGGGTTGTCTCTCTCTGAGAACGACTTCTTTTTTTTACTCTCTCTCTCCCTTTCCCCTGCCGCTTTGCCTCCCTTCAGCCCGATCGCGTCATGTGGCAGGGCTTCCATCCATCGTCTTACGCATTTTTGCCGCCATCCGTCGGCCT